CAAAGCATTGCTAAGACTGAGCCTGAGTGCGCCAAAAGTTGTTTTTCTTACTTTTCCCTCCTTCACCCCCCTACCTCCTGTTCTCCTGATTCCCTTGCTGGTACGACCTTGAGCATGCCAGCGCCTGTGATAAGGAGCCATCTGCTTCTAATGGTTTCCCATACCTTCTCCCCCTCCCCTTTGACAATGGCAGAACCGCAGCATGTAAAAAGCAATTGCTAAACTAGCCAACATAACAATCTACTATTAAATCTTGCAAGGATTCTGACAGTTACTATTGCCCGGAGCCTTGCTACACTGGAAAGATCCATACGTTTTATAAATAAATCAATTAACTTGACTGGGAGTATATTCAGGACATGAAGCCAATTGTTAGGATGGGTTGGAGCTTTGCTTTTTAGCTGTCTTCTAGAAAGGCAGATGGGTGAGCAACATTTGCCTGGAGGATGCGCTGAAGGTGTGGGATAACATTACTGTAAGTTACAGAGCTGGTTTTGAGGGGTGGTCAATGTCCTTTCCAGCTCAATGAAGCTAAAATGCGTGGGTTCTCTGACATCCTATCTTATTTTCTACAGAATACACGAAGTCTGTGATTGATCTCCGGCCAGAGGATGCTGTCAATGAAAGTGGAATTCTGGGAGACAGGAGCAAGTCAGTCCCAGGCCTCAATGTTGAAGCGGTGAGCTTTGAAAGGGAGGAAGTTTCAAAGTTGTGAGGACATTCCTGAGAAATTATGCTTTTAGTACTGGTCTGTGCTCACACATTGTAGGAAGCTTCCATGTGGTTTGTAGGCTTAGGGCACCTAGTCATTGTTGTGGGGAAATCAGAGTGCGTGGAAACCATTTTTGAACTTGTTTTCTCCAGTTGTGTGGAGTTCAAGTTCTAGAATTATTAACAAGGACTGTGATGATCAGGGAATTCTTGTCAGGGAATTCTGGGAGTTGAAGTCCATACATCTGGAGGGCCACAAGTTGGAGGAAGGCTGATTTAGGGCCTGTTTAACAAGTTATAGCTGAAACAAACCATGGCTTTGTGCAATGAAAGAACTCAGCCACTGATTGCATTTAGTCAACTTTTTAGCTTTTTTAAAACATTCAGATGATTAAATAAGGCATAATGACCTAGCCATACATAATGCTAAGCTGTAAACCTAAATAGCTGAATAACAAAACTAAACAAACCACACCAGGGCCTAACAAAGTCTGTGAATCCAGCCTTTGTGGTCTGTGAACCATGGTTTGGTGTGAGATGCAAGTCACACTCTAATGCCTTATAAACAAAGTAGCACTGAACTTTTGCTGGATCCACAAGACGTGCTGTTGGGATGAGAGAGTCACAACATGTTGAGAGTTCCTTCAGTTGTTATGGAGATGCATATGTGCGTATATGGGCTTTTCCTAGGAGGAGGAAGAGGAAGACATAGACAACCTAGTTGAAATTCATCGGAGAAGGGCAGCCCGAAGTAGCTTGCGCAGTGGCACATCCTTGGTGAGTTTCTCTACTAATTACTTTCACCTTGGACTCTACAGAGGAGAGGAAGTTCCTGCTGCTGATTTCCTGCCTAGTTCAGTGGAGGAAGTGCAGTGTTGCTGATGTAGGACAGGAGTGAGCTGCTAACGGCTCTCTGGATGTTGGGCTCCATCTTATCTCTGACTGCTGGCTGGAGCTGATGAGAATTGTCATCTTGCAATGTTTGGCAGATTTCAGATTGCCTATTTCTGCTCTTTGGCTTCTGCTTTGGAAGTCTGCTTCTTGTTCCAAGAGGTAGTAGATTTAAAATGGCAGAGATGGAAACAAAGGCTGAGGCCGACAGCTGATCAACAGGTGCCATGGCTGAAAATTATGCTGGGCGTGTTTTCCAGGGGATGACTATGAACATTTGTTTCTTCCATTTTTTCCTGACTTTTCTTAGAGCACCCTGGGAAGCCTGGCTAGCATTTACAGTGAGGCAGGTGACTTTGGCAACATCAACGTCACGGGGGAGATTGCTTTCTCCTTGAGCTACGAAGAAAAGACGCAGGCCCTTTTCATCCATGTGAAGGAGTGCCGCCACCTGGCCTATGCTGATGAAGTCAAGAAGCGTTCCAACCCGTATGTGTCCATCGGGCAAAGGACTGCAATGGATGGGGGGAAGGTTGGTGGGATGGGACCCGTTTGCCTTTCACATAAGATGTGACACCAGGTGTAATTGGGGTCACCAGAAATGGCTTTTAGGCCCAGCCTGCAACCATGTTTGGACAATGTGCTACCCCAGATTGTGGTTTCTTTGCTTTTGTATTGTGTGAATCAGCTGCTGTGGTTTGTAAACCATGCTTTCTGTCTTAGCATGATAGGTGAATATAGTTGACCGTGATTTATTCATCGAACTATGGCTTATGTGAACCAGGGCAGTGCGTTCCACAGTGTTGCTGCAAAATGACTGGGAGATGATAGACTGGGTATGAATCTGCTCTCTTGGTCTCTTGCAGATACGTGAAGACATACCTTTTGCCAGACAAGTCCCGTCAAGGAAAGCGAAAAACCACCATCAAACGTAACACTGTCAATCCCCTTTACAATGAATTGCTAAAGGTTGGTGTGTGTGTGTTAGACCCCTTCCATTCCCATCCAGAGACTGTCCCTCTTACAGTTTTGCATCCAGCTGATGAAGAACCAAGTAGACTATATGTCCTGCAAGTCTTGGGTCTTAGAAGATGGAAGGATTGTCAGTTTGTGGGAAAATCCAGGGTTGTGGTTAGTCATAGTAGAACCAGAACAAAATGTGGTAAGATTTATGGGACCATCTAACATGGGCTTTGTGTTGTTCCAGCTGGGTGGACTGCGTGGAATTGGGTCAAGACGGATGCTTTCTGGGCTGTAGGAGAAGAGGAAGATTTTTCCTCTCCTTTTGGTCACTGTATGTTCTGATAGAGGGACTTTGGCAGTATTTATGTCCAGTGGTGGAAGTCTGGGACTGGAGTCACCCAACATGTTAGTCATAATGTGGCTTGTTTGGTTCTGACTTAATGTGTTGCATGAATCAATGGTTAATAAATCACCAGTGTGCTTTGTTTATTGCTTAGCATGATGCACAATCCCAGGTGATAACGTTTTGTCAGACAAATCATTCTTAAACAAACTGTGGCTTAATATGATGTGTAAACTAGGAGTGCACAACCCATGGACTGCAAAACCTATTACCCTTAGCCAGCCAATGACTTGGGATGCCAGGGTTTGTAATCCAACAATGCCTACAGTAGAGGACAATGATTTATGTAGAGATACACGTCACTTGCCTGGTGACAAAGACAAGCTTATTTCCAAGTCAAAGTTTTGTCCAGCCTTTAAAAAAATGCTCAAATTTTTGAGATGCTGCTGGTGAAGACTATCCTCTTGGTTCATCTTCTCACAGTATGAGATCAAGAAGTCCCTTCTGCTAACCAGAACCTTACAGTTCTCTGTTTGGCATCATGACCGCTTTGGACGGAATAACTTCTTGGGAGAGGTGGATGTTGCTATGGACGCCTGGAACTTCAACAACCAGTTGGAAGAGTGTCTCCCCCTGCATGGCAAGGTCAGTCACGTGTATCAGAGATCCTATTCTTTGGTGCCAAAGTAACGTGAGTCTTAGGTGTTCCTGGAAGATAGTTATGCGATGGACTTTCAAAGTTGCTAGCTCTCTACCATTGCAGATGTGGTGAGAAAACACAAGGGTGTTAGGTGTAAAAAAAAAAGCCACAACAAAATTAGTAGCCCTTGCATTGGCATTTTAGGACCATGGGCACACATGAAATTTTGAGAGGGCATGCCTGATACCTTCATTAGATGGCAGCCATGAGAGGCATGGCCAATCTCAGAGTTTCCCAGTAGATTCATTAGTTTCTCTAGCATATTTAGTCTCTCCAAGATGCTCCCTACTATCCCAGGTTACCTTTTTCTTTCCTTTGGGGCTTATGGACACATTTACAAAGAGCCATTATTGGGTTCTTGGAGCTAATGGTGATGGTGAAGGCTGGTGTTTTGCTTGTCAGGAGGACAGCCTCCCGCTGAATTTGTTTGTAATTGTGAGTATCCTTTTAAAAATATTAAGTGAGGTGAAGAGGGAATCTAGTGAATGCTGAGGAAATGATGCCTAAGCTCTATGTTTCCTCTACTCTGCCTTAAACGGACGTTGGTAAAAGTCCTTTTGGTGATGTCATATCCAGGATGGGTACCGCTGATTTGGTTAAGTGAGCAAGCTATTTTTACTGTAGGGGAAACTCGTCTGCAAGTGCCCGTTTCTGTCCAGTCATTTGAACAACTGTACCCGAGAGACTGGTTTGAATAATGCTGAGACTTGTTTTTCAGATCATTTAGGTATGATTATTGCCAGAAGAGTAGCCATGTTTAGCCTATTGCAGCCAAACCAGTTTTGTCACCGTAGAGACTAAATGACTGACTGTTGGATTCACTGTTATGGGTTTTGATTACAACTCACAATTCAAGCAAGAGACTTGGGCACCTTAAAAATCTTTCTAATTGCTCCAGTGCATTTTAAAATCAATTGTTTTCTTCCTTCCCTTGTTTTTTCTTTTCTTTGCCTGTGCTATATGAAAATCTCCCAGGAGGTATAGTCTGAGCTATATAATGCAAACATGGGAAAACTGATTATATTTGCTTGAAAAGCAGCAAATAACAGCTGGAGAATTATGCTGTTCCATACCCGTGGTGCTGCCGAGAGGCATTTATTATAATCTTTGTTTATTTCTATGGACCTCTGTCCACAACATGTATTGGAGTGTTGCTTGGTTCGTTGCACTAACTTGGCTATTCTTGTTTGTAAATTGCAGCTTATAGCCTAGTAGAATGTGGCTTAGTTAACAAGCCATGACTACACCTACGTTTTAACATAACGTATGCATGGAGTCAGTGCATTCGTCCCCACTGAGACATTAGCCCCATGCAGCCTAGGCATGATGGGAGTGGTGGTTTGGAGGTAGACACCAAATTGGGTGAAGCTCTACTGGGGCTCTTTTTTGGCATTTCATTTTACCATCCTTTGGTGCCAAAGAAGGCTGCTCTGTTTCCACAGGCCTTTGGTTTCTTTAGGTGTAGATCTTCCCCATCTTTCAGCTTTGGAAAGCCACTTGGAGGCTTTATGAATTGGACTTTGTTCTGTCTTAGACAGTTTCTGTACGTTTTGTTTGTGTAAGCTAGTCTGCCAATGGTGACATTGGCACTGAACAGCCAGAGTTCATAGCATATATATTCTGGACCAATCCTTCCTTGCATTTTCTAAAGTCACTACTTATCCTTCTTTGCAACCTCTTTTAATGTCCCATCCATGTTATCTCCCATTAAGCTCCACTTTTGAATAATCCCTTCTGCCACATTTCATATGTAGCTTTCCTTTCAGGATAAATCCTGGCCAGGACTACATTGATTGCAATAACTTCACATTCAGGAATTGCGCTGTGTGCAGTTAATCTAGGGCATTGCCCTTTTTTCTTCTAGAACCTTGCAGATGCAGCTGCTCCTCAGGATAAAGGCGAGTTAGTGGTGTCCTTGAAGTTCGTCCCACCTGCTAAACATCTTGGTACAGGAAATGGGAAAAAAGGTGAGGGCTTGGAAAGTTTTAACAGCTTTTCCTTGGATGTGACAAAAGCCATCTTTGTGGCAATGCGCTTTGTTTCTCATTAGCTCCAGATGGTCAAACACAAACCTTCTTCTTCCCCATGAGATGTAGAAATGTGACCTATTTGGTTGTGAAAGACCGATTTGTTGTGTCTCAGATTTTATACCCTGGTTAGCTAGGGACGTATATGCTCTCCTGGTTCAAGGAAATTATTTTGGAAGTTTTATTTTGGGGTTCTTGCTCTTCACCCTTCTCACCAAGGTCTTTTGTTAGGCAAAAAGGAAGAAGGTGGTGAACTTCAGGTCTGGATCAAGGAGGCCAAGAACTTGACTGCAGCCAAATCTGGTGGGACGTCGGACAGTTTTGTCAAGGGGTGAGCAAATGGAAGGAGGTTTTAAATGAGTGCCAAATAGAGAGGAAATGGGAGACTGGAGCAGTTGTCTTGAACATTGACCTGAATATAGTGGCTACTTGGATGTAAGTTATATAACTGTCAGAGTTGGCACTGCACATGCTCAGATGCTGAATGAGTGTCCTTGGCTCCAGGCTGTGTAAACTCTGGAATATTCAACAGAAAAAAAAATGATTCTGGTTTAAAAAAAGATATACACTCTAGCACTGTGACCTTACACAAATTCTGCAGATTATTTCTTTGCACAGCTTTTAGCTTGGTTTTGCTAGGGAAAAGGTGGGGTGAACTTTGCAAGTCATGCAAAATATCCTTTTCTGAGCACGGAGAATTTTCTCTTCAGGGTCTTAAGAGCTAGCGGGGTGTTGCGGCCGGAGCAGAAATTCTCGAGAGAATGCATTCTATTCTGCCCCATGGTTCTGGGTCTACTAGTTTTGGCAAGTCCCAAGCGTAAGAGCCTCTTTCACAAAGGACCACTGACTCCTCCTTGTCCACAGGTACTTGCTACCTCTGAGGAACAAGACCACAAAGAAGAAGACGCCGGTGGTGAAGAAGAGTCTGAACCCTCACTACAACCACACTTTGGTCTATAATAAAATCTCTGCAGAACAGTTGTCCCACATCTGCTTGGAACTCACAGTGTGGGACCGGGAGCCTTTGTCCAGCAATGATTTCTTGGGCGGTGTCCGGCTTGGAGTTGGGAATGGTAAGAAAGCAACAGGATCTGTTGAGGTTCTACTACTCTTACAGAAGTCTTGAATCGGGCACCTTTCAAAAAATGGGATGAAGGTGAGAGCTCTGGCAGACTTAGAATGGACTGTAGGGGTATTTATTTTTTGGTTAGATTTGTATCCTGCCCTTCCTTTAAGAGCTCCAGATAATGTAGATATGCTCCCTTCTCCCATTTTATTTCTCCACAACAACAACCTTGTGAGTTGGGCTGAAAAAAGGGACTGGCCCAAAGTCACCCAGCCAGCTTCTGTGTCCAAGAGTGGACTAGAACCCAGGTCTCCCTGATGCCAGACCAGTACCTTCATCCTTATACCACGCTGGTCCTCTTTGATGCTTTTCAGTGGAACGTGGGTCCCCCAGAGTTGCAGGCTCAAGGGGTGTGTGTTTGTTGATTTATGTATTTATTTATTAGATTTATATCCTACTTTTTGTAGAGGCAAATATAGTGTTTCCTTCTATTTTTCTCCACAACAACCCTGTTAGATGGGTTGTGGTGGCCCAAAGTCACCCAGGGGGTTTCCCTGATTGAGGGGGGACTTGATTCTGGGTCCCCCCATTCTAGTCACACACCTTCACCCCTACACTGCCCTGGCTCTCATTTTTTAAAAATGCTGTGGATTCACACGAAATGGCCATTCTGGAGTCTGCTATTCAGCCCCTCCCTAATACTATCCCAGCATTTTTAATAAATATTTTATTATAGCCAACTAAAGAAAGGTTTATATACATATTACATACATATATTAAAGAGAAAAAGAAACAAAGGCCTGGAAAATTCTATGTCAAAACAATTCCAAAAAGTTTAACCAAATGGCTGGAATTTCTCTTTCGTGCTCTTTTGCTGAAAATAGGCTAATTTGGATTTGAAAATGCATACAAATAAATGGCTACAAATTAGATGTAGATTTATCCTCTCAGTGTTGCATAATAATTCTTTTAGCTCTTTCCTCTAAAAGGAAGTGAAAGTTGCTCAGTGCTTAGTGTCTTGGTGGATTCCAAATACTAGGATATAACTAAGAAAGTATGCATCTCTAACAAACAGTGAACCATCTAAACTCAGCCCAAACTATAGCAGTGAGAACAAGCCTAAACCATAGGAGCCAACCTTCCAACTCGTAATTTGCATCTCCAACAGCAAGACAATGGCAATGAACGAAACATCCAAGGGAACTTTAATGCTGCTGTGTTGACCTCATTTGAAGATCAGCATTAAAGAATGCAGACCTTGTCTAGGCAGAATAGTAAAGCACCAGTTTGCCCGTGACTTGGTTGACTTTCTGCTTTTCCTGAAGGCAGGGGTCCAAGGCCAATGTTGTTGTGGTCCCACAACTGTTCAAAAGGAGATGGGCGAGACTTTTGAGATGGTGCTGGTGAGAAAAGACTGTAGTGGGCTAGATAGATCAGAAGACCTAATATCCCCATTTCTTTCCTCTATGCAACATGGCTAGAGCTCTAGATCCTAGCTGGATGGGTGCTGATCTTACCCCCTTTGCTAGATTTGAACAGATGCATGCTGACACCGACTTCTCTATACCCTTCCTTTCGCTTTCTGCAGGAATGAGTAACGGCGAGGCTGTGGAGTGGATGGATTCCACAGGAGAGGAGATAAACCTCTGGCAGAAAATGTGCAAGTACCCAGGATCCTGGGCAGAAGGGACCCTTCCCCTTCGTGCCACCATGACCAAGTTGAGGCCATAGGTTTGTCCCTGCTTGCTTGGACCATCAAGTCCGAAGAAGAGGCAAGTAATCTGGAGAGCTGCCAGAAAGCTGTCCGGCTCATGCAGCAGAAGAGCCAGCTTTGCAATGGCTGTTCCAACAGGCTCCTTCTAAAGAGAATGTTTCTTTCAGAGAATCTTCGTTTTGCAACGTCATTGGAACGGTTATTGCACGAGCGCCTTTCGGCATCTCAAAGTGCCTTTTATATTTGGTGGTTTTTTAAAATTTTCTGCACTTTCCTTTTCCTTCCCGCTCCCTTTCCTGTGCTGTCCTTGTTTTTAAAAAGCCCTCTGGATGTAAGCTGTGTTTTTACATCCTGTTTTAAATGTCACTGCTGCCTGTTGTCTAGGCAGTGGGAAAGGGTCACTGAAATAAAGTTCAGATCTACTCTGCAAGAGGCTGCAGGAAATCCAACCGCCTTGAAATCTTGGATGCTGTCCTGAATGCTGCATCTTGAAGGATATTGTAAGCTGGAAAGTAGCAGAAAGGGGCTAATCAAATTCATCCATGCGTTTTCCACTTACAAGGAAAGGTTATAGTGCTGGAAGAGGGGGAGGGGAGGAGGAGGATGTATAAAATGTCACTAATATGAAGAAAAGAAGCAGCAAGAAGTCTGTTTTTCTCTTGTAATGTCCAACTGAATAATCTTCAGTTATTCATTGAAGTGGAATGGCGGAGGATCCAGGACAGAAAAGAACCTCATTAAATAGATGGTTTTAAAAGGAGGGAGGGCAAATGAATGGAGAACAAATCTATCATGATGACTACTCTCTTCGGTATTAGAAGCAGCAGTTGCCTTAATCCTGGTTTTAGGAAGCAGTCCCAAGGAACGTTGTGTTCTTCTGTTTGAAAGCATGGGGTTGATCTTCAGTCTGGTCTAGCCAGGCTCTGTTTATGATCTTCTATCAGCCACCAAACCTTCAACCATCTGCTGCTGCTTTATTGTTCTTCTTGAGGAGGTCTCAAAGGATCAGAAAGCAGTCAGGGATGGAGGTGGGTTAGCAGACAGATTACAGTCCCTCTCATCTGGGCAAGTCTGGCATTGGTGGTGATGCAGGGGGTGGTGATGGGGGTAGTGGAACTTGGTAAACTGCCTCAATATGGTCTGGGATCTCATCACCACTGAAGGGATCTGCTGGAGAGCTCCCATTTCAGACCTTCCATGGTGGTTCTTCATTCCCTCTGAAAAAGGCCTTTTAGATAGAAAACAAGAGCCCTTCTCCCCATCATTTAGGAGTTTGTTCATTGACTTTTAACTCTACAGTACTGGGAATATGTTCTTTGATTTTGTGTTCTGATGCTTATTTTTGTGGTGGTTTGTTTAAGAAGATTCAGTCATTGAGACTTAGTGGAATTTGATTTTTTTCCCTTTCATTCTTTGAGTCTGCACACAGTGGGCATTCCTGCTTTAATGCTTGCTGAGGTCAGGAGGAAGCTTGTAGGAGCACCCTCCCCTTCTTAATCATTTTTTTTCTTTGAAGTGGCCTCTGGCCCTGACTGTTTTTAATCTAAAGCCAGGGGAGCCATCCTCTGGCTTCCATATGTTAGACTGCGAACTTCTCTAAACCCAGCCAGCGTGGCCAATGTTGAGGACCGCGAAAGGCGGTGTCGCCTGCAACAGCTGAAGGGCCCCAACCGTCCCGTTTTTGCTTTAAAAGCTAGCAGTCTTACAAATGAATTTATTTCTTTCATTTTGATCCTGCTGCAGTCTTGTGATGCTCAGCACTTGCAATGTCAGAATAAAAACAGCAAAATGAAAACAACATACAATCCAGATCACCCAAACCAAGAGAGATCATAACAGCAACAAGAGGCATAGGTGATGTTATTGAAAAGTTCTTTCAAAAGTTTTTAATGATTTCCTAAAAACTACTAGGGAGAGGGTCAGTCTGGTCTCAGTGGGGAATCCAGGCCATAGTGTTGATGCTGCTGTGGACAAGCATCTTGGAAATGTGGGTCTACAAGGAACCCCCTCTTTAACATTGGTTTTCTTCTGTCTATAGCCTGTGATACTGTCATAGCAAAATAGACATCTGTACATGATTTCCTTCCTTTTCACTGCCCTGTCTCTTTAAATATCTCTTCTCCTGACATCATATCCAAGTTTGCAAAACACTTTTTTTTAATAGTAAGCTTGAAGCTGGAAGCCCTGTGGTTTCAGAGTCTTGCCTCATCTCCAATTGGAGAGCCCCAAACTCAAGAAAGTTGGATTGTGTTTGACCAGGATGAGAGGTGAAAAATTCTAGTCCATGAGTTTATAACGAGTGCAACTTAATTTTTGGTTAGCCCTATCTCCTGGGCGTGCCCCCAAAGGAGAGGCAAGCTAAGAAGAGAGCAGAAAGGGGAACTCAGAAAATCCTGTCGTTCACCACTCTTATCTCAATTAGATGATTGCTAGAGCTGGGCTCGTGCTGCAGTTCTCTAGATGTTAAACCACAATTCTGGTAATCCTTAGTCATGCTGGCTGAGATTGATGGGAATTGGGGTCCAAACCCATTGATTTCCTCCAGCCCTGCTCTGTAAAGGGAAGACATTTGGGATCCAGGCAAAAGAGTCTAGGTGCTCTTTATGGAAAAGTGTACGTACGAGTAAGCATGTCCTTTGGAATAGTGCCTCCAAGACTGATGGATAATCACCGGGCATGGGAACACTGCTTTCCTGCTTTCAGGATCAGGAGAGAAGCTTCTGCTGGCCCCCTCGATTGCAATCCAGCTGTTGCTTTTTGGTTTCACCTCTAGCCAAGGCTAATGTGAAACGAGACCGCTGGGTCAGCGTTGGTGGCCAAAGGCAACCGGGCAGTGCCTTCTCACTCACACACATCCCTGTTCTGTTCTCGCCGTAACTGTTCCTGGGCGCTCAGCAGGTAAGTATCGACAAAGGAGAACAGCTCATCAGGCGTCACTGGCTGGATGTAGCGGTCGCGGTCTGTGCCGTATTTGTCAATTAACACTGCGTTGAAGCGAGAGCGAGAGATGTGCAGGAATTGCCTGCAGAAATAATTTTTTAAAGAAGTATTGATTAGGCCATTTGCTCTTTTGCTAAATGAAGTTTTGGAGAAGGTAGCAGAGCATCAAGAGAAGACATTGCCTGCAAAGTTCGGGTTGCTGTGGGGCCTTGGACCTGGCTATTTTCTCCCTTTTGTCCTTCCTTAGGTGATGCCTGCAGCCTGAACCAAAGCTCTGTCTCCACGGATCTGCCTTACCTGCTTTTAGATTAAAGCCACATGGGTTCTCTGGATGATCCCTGATGGGCTGCTCTCTAAAGCAACAAGCGGGCCTAGGACGAAAACAGACTGCACCCCCTTGAAGAACCAGATGTGGTTCTGGAGTTGTGTTCTTACTTAAACGTTCCTCACTACATCTGGTGGCAGGGAGTCCCAGGAGTTGATTATACCACACTCCTTATTTCTTAAAGCTTTTTGATTACGGTCACTTGTCCTGATAATTTGAAGGATGGTGAAGGAGGCTTCTAATGGGCTCCTATGGCTACAGAGGGCATTCTTTTGGCCTTGCCTGGTTTCCTGCCGCCTCCACTCACCTCAACTCTTCAACGATCTTTTCTGAGAGCTGGAGCTCCCGGATCCGCCCCGTGTCATGAGGTGGCAAGCCCACCAGTTCAATCACAGTCACGTGGCGCAACTCCAGCCCGCAGGTGGCTTGCTGCAATGGAGAGAAAAGCAATGCCAGCTCAGAGCCTTGTGGCTGCAAAGGGGAGCAGGGAGTGGGGAAGATGGACAGGCTTACTTGCAACATGGCGTTCTGCATCTTGTAGTAGCGGTCAGAGGGGTCAGGAGCCGAGACGATGAGCAGCCGGTGCTTTTCATAAAACTGATCCAAAAGTCTGGAGGCCGAGTTGACATCCGTGTTGATTTGCATGGCTTTGGGAAAAGGAGAAAGCAGAGGTCGAATGTGCTGATGGTGACTGGCTTTATCCAGCGTGCTAAAATGCAAGCTGTAATCCACAATTACAGGAGCAGCGTGTTAAGCCTAAACCAAACCTTGGCTTAGGGGGGTGGAGAGCAACTTTTAGGGCTGGCAGAAGCAGCATGGAGTAATTTGGGGCAGTGTGAGGATTGCAGTACTTAGAAAGGTGCAAAGATGCAAACAGGAGCAGCTATATCACGTGTGGTCCCTGCAAGGTTTTTTTCTGGGTTTCATTAACTTCTTTGTGGGGGGGGGGAATCTTTTTCAGCAAATACTTTAGGGCTTTTTCGTCCTCTTTCCAGGAGTTTCCCATCTCAGGAAGGTGAAAAAACAGCCCGGGACATTTGGCAATTCTTGTTGGACAGGGCTTGGTAAGGTGTGACTGAAGGGGGTGGGGAGAGCTGTTTGTAGCCCAGAGACTCGCCCGTTGTGGGCTCTGCACAACGTGGGGCTCTTGCCGTTGTCAAAAGGAAACTTTTAAAAAGAAAAGGTATCAGTCAGGTTCTTGACTCTTCTTAAATGAACCTTTATGGAATAGAGCAAAGGTCTAAGAGGCAGAGACTTTGCCTGCAAAGTTTGGTGTGCTGTAGGCCCTCAGAGATGGTCCTTTTGTTCCTTTCGTTTCTCCTTCCACTGTTCCACTTCAGTTATCTGAATGACTCTAATCCTGGCATCCCGAAATGTTTTACTAGCTGTGCTGTGTTGAAGGGGCAGCTTTTGTGGGAACCCAAAGGCCACTGTTGTTTGCTGGTGGGGTTTATGGTTTGTTGAGTTATCAATAAACCAATTTTTATTTTATTGTTTTTTTAAAAGAATGACTTGGCAGGACGTGTGAAATTCAACACTTTTGATTCCACCAATTTTGGCCATCTCTTGTCCTGCTGTCAGGACTTCCACATCAGACTATACATGAGAGCAGCAATATAGTTTGATACAGGGCAGAACAAATGAACCTCTGAGAGCGCTTTGTGGTCCTTCTGCATGGCCACCCTTGTCTCAAATCCCAGATTCACTCACAGGTACACCTGGGCTGAGAACCTGACCACTGGCGACTGGACTGGCAGACCCGTGTAGTGGCACCCTGGAGTTCGTAGCCTCCATCGCAGTGGTATTCGCAGACGGCACCATAGTTGTCCCCTGCTGAAGTGCAGCTGAGATAACCATGTTCGGGCACTTTCAGGGTGGGACAGCGACTCACTGTAGAAGGAAAGTTAGTGACTAGGAATGAGAAAGATTCCTTGGCTCAGCAAAACTCAAACTCTTCAGAAGCCCCCTGGACAAGCTGCAAAGGTACTCCAGATTTGTCATGCTCAGGTGGTTCCAGGCAACCCCTTCTAACCATGTACTAACTCCTGAAATATGTAACATTTGGAAAGTGTGACCAAACAAGCTACAGATGTGAGGCTGGGCTCCCATACTGTGCCTAGCCAAAACCAAATCAACCATTTAATAGGTGTATTCATTCTCTACACAGATACCCCTCTTTTCCACAGGAGCTCAAGGTGGTGTTCATAGTACTCTGTCCTCCATTTTGTTCCCCATAATGACAATCCTGTGAGATAAGTCAACTGAGTTCCTGATGAGCTTCAGGTCACCACCGAACTTCCATGGTTGAGGTAGACCTTTCACCTGGGGCTCCATCTTTACCACTATACCATACTGGTTGGCCATTCTATCATGTTATGGCTTAGCACAGTGTGGGATCCCAACATGGGATCCACAAAATACAATCTTGACCACAGAGATGTTAGTAATGATAGCAGCCTGAGGGGAAAGGGGAAGTCCTGTCAGAATTTTAGGGCACTCTTTTAGAGTGGTTTGGGCAGGAACTGGCATCTTATTCCTCACCTCGGACCCTCACCAAAAATTTGCACGTAGCTCGATTGTACGCCTGGTCGTAGACAGTGTAGCGAATAAGATGCTCTCCTTCTGAAAACTCGGATCCTGGCTCTGGGCCCCGGCGTGTCATTCTGGACTCAAACGACAGACAGACACATTCAGTGTAGGATACCACAGAGCAGACTTCCTTGAACCCTTAAATGTCCCCAGCGAGCTCACTTTTTGATGATGCCATCAGCAGAGTCCTTTGCCCGGGGTGGATCCCAATAAACCGTGGCGGTCAGCTTGCCAGGCTCTGCTATTCGCTCTCGAGAATCCGGACACCGGATGTGGGGAGGCTCTATGTCTGCTTGGGAGAATGGGAAAAGAATTCCATGGAAAGAGGCAGCAACAGAATGGCCAGTTCAGAAGGATGGCAAGCAATCATGTCGTCTTTGCGTACTGTGTGGCCGGAGTCATTTGTGCAATTATAATGCTTGCTTCTGAGCATGACTTAAGAATTTGAAAAGAACTCCAGCTGGGTAAAATGGGTTAATTCCAAGTCAGGACACCTCCATGTAATGCTTGTGAAGCTCCTGAATGAGCACTATACCCATGCAATCCCGTGATGATGTCCCTGAGAGCTGACCTTATTTATTTGTTCCAAATTCTGGAATGTGGTTTTCTGGTAAAAACCCACTGGAGCTCTGCAGAGCTTGGGAGTGGGGTGTTTCTTCATTGGGGGATCTATCTCCCCACCTCCCTATCTCTGCAGGTGGATGCTCCTGCAGCTTCATGTTCTTATTTCTCTGTTGTTTCAATAGAAGTAGACCTCGCTTAACGACTGCCTGTTTAGTGACTTTTTGAACTTAACGGTGCTAAAAAAAGTAACTATACGACCGGTCCTTGCACTTACGGCTATTGCAGTGTTCTTGCAGTCATGTGATTGCCATTTGTGCATTTCACAACCAGCTTCTGACAAGCAGAACCAATGGAGAAGCTGGCAGTAAAATGGCAAGTCGTGGTCATGTGATGTCTCACTTAACAACCCCCAGTGACTCGCTTAATGACTGGGAGTGATATTGTGAGTCTGTTGTGGTCAAGTGATGTTTTGTTTAGTGACTGCATCACTAGTCCTAATTGTCACTGAGTGAGGATTACCTGAACACTAAATAAAGGAATGGTGCCTTGATGGTCTGCAGCTCTCCCCAGTGACAAACACTCAGATATTTTAAATATATTTTTTTAAAAAGCCAAATTAGAACACACATTGCTGGGCAGGACAATGTGAATGTTGTGCCTCTCAGGTCAGCAAGTGGGCTCACCAATTGCCTCATACAGTGTTTTCTGTTTTGAGGTTGGTGGCTTTAAGGATGACCATGGTCAACTCAAAGCTGTTTTTGTGGATTTGGAGAGCACAAGAGAGTGATATGGTAGATACTCAGCATTGCCCCAAATATTCATACCCCAGCAGTCACCACTGCTGGGTTCCTGTATACCAAGTGGCTTTAGAGAAGTGTAGATGCTCAGCTCCGGTTTGGAGCAACTGCTTCATCACATTTATATGCTGTAGATGGGCTGAGCTGACTTCTCCCTTTGAATGTGGGCTGGAAGGAGGACAGCCCTGGAAGGGCGAGAATTTACCTACACAAATTGGCACGCTACCGCTCCAGCGCCCATCTTCCATGCAGACACGACTGCGATCACCTTCTAGATGATATCCCAGTTGGCAGCTGTAGTCGCAGTGAGAATCAACCTTCACTCCACTGGAGCACTGGTATGACCCATGCTGAAATGCTGGCAGTGTGTGACATCGAATCTCTGCAGAGATAAAGAATCTAAAAATTACTTACTGATTTATATCTCACTTTATAAGGAGTTCTGTATTCTCCACTCCAATGGTGGTGAAGCGGACTGGATTGAGAATGAACAACTGGGCCAAAGTCACCCAGTGAACTTGAACCTGGCCCTAATCACAATCTAGCATTCTTGTTCCAATACCACCTTGATTTTCTGTTCCCTTACCCACAAAACGAAAACCTTCAGTTTGCAATGAAAATGTAGCATAAATTCAAGCCTGTTCACCACTTTACTCTGTTGTTGGAAGAGAGATTATTAACTCCTGAAAGTTCTTCCAGGAGTTAGCCAAAATTTACTCACTGAAATTTTTATCCAGTTCCATTGTGCTTAAATCCTGTCCTTGAAGAGTCTGGTGGCATGGTTCTGTAAATCGGGGCTCTATTCCAGTTTTCAAAAAAGGCCCAGGGACTATCCCTTCTTTGATGAAAATTTAGGCCAACGTATTCCAGGAAAGATTGGAAATAGGACTAGTTCAACGTCTTTCTAAAGAACCCATTGATCTTGTTCAGAGACTGTGCTAAGCTACAGTATGATTTTGGCCATCTGTAGTGCGTGAATCTGGACAATTGGGATTTCCCCCCCATATAGCATAAATTATGGCTTAGCATAATGCATAAGACAAACCCTTGTCTGCTTGACTTGCAAAACCTCAAACCTTGGATACATCTCTTGGTAGCTTGATCTTACACCCCCAAACTGTAATGGGTTATTTTGAAGACAGACATGATTCTGGTGGGGATTGACTTCAGAGGGGAATCAGAGCCAATACTTACGTCTACAGTAGGTAATCCCAGACCAATGCCGGTTCAGTAAGCATTGCACAGACCTCTGGCCGATCAAGCGATACCCACGTTTGCAGGAAATCCCACAGCGTGTCCCCAGGCTGCTGCGGTAATTTCCTCCACGGGGTGAATAGCAAATAGCCTCTCCATTATAAATGACTAGTGGATGACACCACTGAGGAACTAGGGGGAAAAAGAAAGGATAGTATAGAAAATCTTTCATGATCTCAGGCTTCGCTTGCTTCTATAGAACCATGTCTGGTTCTGCTCCAGCTTTGGCAATAAGATGGAGGTGAAGAACTAGGCCTACTTTGCAATGGCGGCCAAATCATTCTTTCCCATCCTGTGTAGGTACATTGTGTAGCTGTCCTACGTGGTCAACTGAAATTAATAACGGATTGCTGTTTGGTTTTTTATTTGCATGGCACAGCTGTGTTTCATTGCACGTTACGGGTGGAGTTCTCAGCATTGGAAAAGGCAGGATGTACATAAAAGGAAGTAGAGAATGGTTGCGCCATAATGCTAAAAAAAGGAGAGAGGAAGGATTGTTATGATACTTCTTTCCTTGTAGTATATTAGTCCTTTGCCCTCCATTCAGTTTATTATCCATTCTGACCAGAAATTAATTCCTGCAAGAGGAGGTGATGGATTTAGCTGAGTCTGTGAACCATGGCTATAGGCTAAACAAGAAGCATACCAGAGACCACAATACATGGAGACCAGTTGTAATGTGGTGACAAGTGGAAGGCATTCCCCACATGCTCAACAGAATCCTCTCCATTCTTATTCTTTAAAATGTCTGAAAACAAAGATTTAGGGAACTGGCCATAGCTTTAACATTTCCCCAACCAGCTGTGCCTAATTTGACATTTTATTCTGAATTTGGGAACCACAGTAAATGACTTTTGTCTGGACTGTTATTTCCCCTCTGAACATCAGTTCTACTTTTTGTTAGACTTTCCAGCCACAAATTGTAGCTACCAACGGTCCCCACGGGATCCCACGGTTGGCTAGGGGGCTAATCTGCAGGAAGGAAGAAAGTCTATTGATGGTGGTTTTTAGCAACATTCCTCTTGTTTTCTTCCCAGAAGGAAATTCCAAGTGAGAACTTGCACCATCAATAGTTGTAGGAGGAAGTCACCCTCACATTGTAAACTTGAGGATAGGGCCAACTTCAGGTTTGGAGGGGCCTAAGTAATGTGGCTCCTAATGTATTTACTTGATGACAACACCACCCAGAGCAATGTTGCAAAGAACATTAAATGGAGAAGTCTACCTGCATTTTAATTCCCCGCATTTATCCCATGATGACACCACATTGAGAAATGAATGTATATTCCAACAAGGTGGAAGGACAAGAACTGGCCCTGCTGGGGTCTTAGTAGCTGCCCAGGTATTGATCCTGACCTTGGAGGAAGAGTTCAGGAGGAGCGGATTCCACTTCTTAGCACTCCCAATAGATAGAAAGGAAAGCATGACCACATCAGTTCTTTGCATCTTTTGTCATCTTTTGCTAACAAGGAAGTGCTTACTTCTCATGAAATGTTAGACAGAGGCTCTTGCAAGGAGGAACAGGGTTGGTGTGGAAAAGCCCAAGGAATGTGGAGACCTTTCTTCTCAATACTCAATGCTATTAAATAGTGTGGCCAGGAAAGGCATGAGTGCCAAAGTGGGCTTAGTGATTCTAAGCCTCCTCACAGATTCAAGTAATGGACAGGTAGGGTCACCTGCATACCCTTATTCACATTGTGCTAGGCCATGATTTCTTTTTACTTTGGTGTGTTGGACAAGCAATAGTAGCCAGGTTTGCCTACCACACTAAGCCATAAACCATTTCTTACAAATCTAATGGTTAAGTTCACACCCTGTGCTTTGCCAAAACATGGCTTTGTTGGAGCATTGGGTGTGAATTTGTTGAATCAGCTCTTGTTCTTGATTCAACAAATAATGGTTAAAACTATGAGGTGAAGTTCTACCAAGACCATGGTGAAGTGGTCCCACTTTTCTCCTCCCTCACAACAATGAAGCTCACAATAGCAGTGGGTACCTTGATGATCTGGAGCAGGAACACTGGAGGTTTCCTTAAGGTACACCTCATCGGTCTGCCTTTCTGCAGCAGAGTAGCCAGACCCTGGAGGAGAAAGGAACACAACACCTACCTCTGTACATCAGTCATATTTTTCTACCTGATTTTGGAATAGGGTGACTTCATTATTTTATGGTCCACGCTGTTATGGGTTTAGAACTCTGCCTGTTGATCCAGAAAAGCCCATTTTTGGATCACTTTCTTTACTTGATTTTCCTTTTAGATATCTTTTGGGTTACAGTGCAACTAAAAACACTTGACAAAAAGAGTGGCAAGTAGCTATGTTAATTCATTAGGAAAGTAAAAACAAAAGGACCCTCATTTCCCAACCAACAACTCAGGTAAATGTTCACAGTACTGTGTGTTGTCCCAGTGGCATGAGGTCATTGGAAGTTGAACACATCAAAGAAACACGGTGGAAGGAGTGTCAGCACAGTGCAGATGGGCCTACTAAAGCATGCCCTGCCCTATAGATTTGAAGAGTCCAAGATGGGATGCAAAAGATATTTCTTCAATTAAGATAGACTGAAACAAAAGAGCATTTGAGGGTGAAGGATACACCCCTAAAAATAGTTTAGACTTGTCAGCATGCTCTTGCACTTAACTTTCCACACATTTTCACATATAGCTCCCAGTCCTGCCACACTGAGCCAAGATGAGGCTGGGTCTCTGAAAGTGTTAAGCCATAACACTTTTTAGAGCATAGTGTCTGGATTCATACAACATTCTAAGCTAAATCCACAACAGAGTGAGGGTGTAAACAAAGCCTCTCAATTTTCAGTGTTCAGATTTGAGTGTTGTTATCTTTGTGGTCAAAATAGTATTTGTGATGTAGGGAATCTGAGATTTGCACAAATATTGACAGAGGGAAACCTTACAGAGGGAAAAACCTTCCTCAAATTAATGCGATGAAGACTGGGTGTGTCCAAGAGCCACGTATAGTTAATTGAGTGCTGTGGGGGATCTGTGTCACTGGAAAGTCTCACAACTCAGAGGAAACACATAATGTAGGAGAGTCTTGTTGAATAAATGAATTTAACATATAACAGATTGGAGAATAGCCATCAGCAGTGAGTAACTGGGAACCAGGAGATGTTATCTTGAAGGGAAACAGCAATATGGGCATTGCAGACATGAAAAACAAGGACCACTGTCTCTATCAGACGATGTTAATAAATGATAGGATGGATCTGAACTGGGTAAGAGGCAACTAAACTTGGCCAGACCAGATGTGAAAAAATGCATTTTTAAGAATTGGTTGTTTTTGGACTGGAACTGTTTGTTTGAGGACAGAATTCCTGATTCTTTGCTTGATTTTTGCTTTTCAAACCCAAAGCAAAGGAACAAAACCAGGAGTCTTTTGCTACAGTGATTTTCATTCCTTTGTACTGGAACCAAGGTGACCTTGTATAAGTAAGTTTTCGACCATCCAGGGAAATTGAGTAAAACTCAAGTTATGTTAGAAAGTAAGAATGACTAATGTGTGCATATTGGTGTACTAGTGTCAAAAGAAAGCAACTTTAAGATATGCTGTAGCACAATGTTTCTCAACCTTGGTGACTTTAAGACATGTGGACTTCAACTCCCAGAATTCCCTCAGCCAGCATTGCTGGGAATTCTGGGAGTTGAAGTCCAGATGTCTTAAAGTCACCAAGGTTGAGAAACATTGTGCTAGAGCATATCTTCTCAGAAAGGAGTCCTGCAGAAATACCATTTTCCCCAGCCGCAACCCCAGATTAAGTACATGCTTATCTATGAAGCCACAGAAGTGACTTGGAAACAGCATTAGCCAAGGCAGAACTTAAATCTATTCATGGAGCTAACATTGTGGGCAGATGACTCTCCAAGTGGACTTCTTCCAATGCCTGGAACTGCTCCTTGTGCCAAGGTGTGGTTTGCTTAACCGTGGCTTATTAATCAAAGCACAATTGGCTGGATTCACCCACTATGCAAAGCCACAAACCACGTATGGGTTAGCATGTTGTGCAAAACCAGCCACAGGAGGAGAACTCTATGTTTATGGATAAGGAAGTCCCGCTAGAATCCTTTGTTCCTCTAGGTGACTCCACAGCACTGTGATCCTCAGTCAAACACCCCAGAGCATGTCTCTGGTGAGACGGTGAACTGTTTCAATGGAAGACCTGAAACTACTGCACTAATAGAGAGTTACAAAAACAATGCTCTTTTAAAACTCAGTACCTAAGAAGCTTCTTGTATTGTCTCCATAACTGGAGTGCCTTCAGACTTCTCTTAGTCTGGAAAGCTGTGGTCCGACTTATGGGATTTCGGTTCCTGGAGAAGGGCAGAAGTTGTAGCTAACCCACTCTTCCTCCAGAGTGCTCATTCCATCACTAAGAAGAGACACTCCTAAGAATACCCAAGGATTGATCTGTTTCTTTTTCCTCTCTTCAGACAAGACAGACTTGGTTTCGTTGCTACCTTTGTGAAGTTCAGCAGAGCACAAGGGAGACAAATACTTTCAGTGGCACATGGCAGAAAACTGATTTGGATCCTGAATGAATGAGGAAGCACTGGTGGGTGGCATTTCAATTCAATGAGGTCATATTTCCACTGGTTCCTTCCCGTTCCACACAATACAGTTCATCCTCCCCACTGCTTGTTCATTTTTCTGATTCATTACGGTTCCCCCTTGCAAATGGTCCTATCTCTTTTCATCTAATTTTAGTTACTGGTGATTGAAATGATGCATGTATTCCTTCTGCCCTACTTTAACCCTGAAACTGCATGTCTGTTAAGCCAAATGCCAGATGTTTGGCTTGCTTTGAGAGTCCCATTGTGCTCCTAAGTGGCGGGACGCTGAGGCTCAACATGGGCCAGATGCCACAAACCCTGGGGTGAAAATCACAGGGCAGTTTCCCGAGGGCTACAAGACATGCTACTCAAACCCACTAAAAAGGTTTGAAATATCTCGAAAACTCACCATATTGCTTCATCTGAATAAAACGACTGTTTTACCATTTGGGGAATCGGACTGGAACTGGGAGTTTTGTTTTTCTAGACTGGCCCGCCCCATTCTCCATGGTTCTCTAAGTGAAGCAGAGGAGCCAGAGAGAGAGGAGGAAAAAGTCCTACTCTAGACACGATGACAACCCCATATCTTTTCCCACTTAAATTTGCCTAGCATCAAATTCCCAGGCCACTAGCCTCAAGGGAAAGTCTGATGTCTGCTTTACCACCTTGTACAAGGAAAGGGTTGAGTCAGCCTTCTTGAGAAATACAGTCATTGTGTTTCTAGAGTTCATAAATACAGTTGTCACAGCGTCTCCTCTGTGGAATGCAGAAATCACTCTTTCCCATTCAGCTGTAGCTTAGTGTTGGAAATCTACGCACAGGGCTGAGTTGGTCTGGGTGAAATGCAGGATCTCTTTCTTAAGACTGCAACGAGCAGGCTCAGATCGCTATGCCAGTAGGCCATCAGCTACCTGTAATGCAAGTTCAGCTAAGAAGAGGGTACAAACGTCACCATTCCCAAATGGCAGGAAAAGGATCAGGGTGCCCCCAACACACAGAGACAGTGCTGGCAAATTCTGCTCTCACATGTAGGTTTTACACCTTGCTACTGATGCAGTCACACCAAATCTTATGCTCTCTTGGTCACTGAGGAAGGCAGGACATTAAAAAAAAAAAATCCACCCTTTAGAGTCAATGAAAGGGACAAATATTGTGCCAGATATGGGGCTAGATTAAAGGGGTGTTGACAACGATAAGGTGACATATTTGGAAGAACCGTGCTCTTTTGTGAAAGCCGTGACTCAGAAGTTCTACCAGCAGAGTGTATTTCTGAAGAGTTAAACTGGGTCAGCGTTGTATTTGCTGTCCCACTGACTTGGCAACATTTCCATTGATTACTACAGCTGTCCCTCAAGTGGTAGAACTTCATATATTTCACCCAGCTTAATCTGATTATTCAGTGAATTGATTAAGCATCATTTAATCAGCTCTCTGTTAATCAGAAGAAGACAGCTTGGGTACTGGAGGAAGAGGGAGATGTTTTTGTCCATCCGACTTTTTTCTAGCCTGAAGCTATGAAAAAATTGCAGGAATCTTATAGCCAACTTTAGACAGGCAATGTCTTTTAAGCTTCATGCACACTGAGCCAAGCACATTGGCTGCAACGTTTCCAAAATCTTGTAATCCATCGAAGAGGGAAGAACTGTGCCCCTGAAAATATTTGCTTGTTAGCAGTAGCGACCAGGCAATGGATGGATTTCTAATAAGGCACACAGGCAAACTTTACTAAGGATGGAAAAAGGGTTTTTTTTCCCTCTCTTGACTTGTGGTGTCTAACTGCTGTAGACTGACCACTTGCCAAAAGCTCCCATCAGCCAGAGATGAGGCATGGAAACTTTTAGGAAAATATAGCATCTGCTACCACAGGAAAGCTGTGGTGTGGGAAGAGCTATATTTACTCATCTCAAGAGATGATCCCAGGCCCATATGTTTATGTGTGTCTGTCTTCCCTTACCCCCCGGGTAGACTTCCAGGCTCAGTTGGGGGGCTAAGGAATGTGTGATGCCTATTTGAAGCCATCCCTTTGTTGCTTAACTCCTCACATTTCTTTGACTGGCTGCTTTGGAGCAGAAATCCAACCAAGGTATCTCCAGGTGGAGTGTGGTCTTTGCAGAAGGCCAAAGAAAGAGTTGGGTCATGTGTCAATATACCTCCTGCCCCTTTGCCAAGTCAGACAATTGGTTTGTCTAGGTTAATCTTGACCCATCCTATTATCAAGCAGGGAGAAACTACCATATGGTAATTTTGTTTATATATGCTTAGGTTTGCACACCATGATACATTAGGATTTGTTTTAACCCTGCTTTGTTAAAAACATGTTGCAGCAGGTCTTGCCAACAAAGTAAGGAACCATCACTTTTATGGCAAGTTCCTGATCTATGTTCTCTATTCCTTCTGGCAGTAGCCAGAAGAAGTAAGTGAGGCAGAAGAAGTCAGCAATAAGCTAGGATTCAGGGCTGCAGAAATGGCTATTGTTAAAATAAGAGTTCATAAATGGACAAGAAACTCCCATGGTTTCATCACATGGCTTGCTAGAAAAAGAAACCAATTCTTTCAATCTCAACAAACCATGGTATGGCTTCCCCTACGAACATTTGCTGTGGAATATACGATTCTTCTTACAGAAGCTGCCACAATGGGGCAAAGGAAGGTTGAGCTGAAGCCATATCAAAACTCCAGAAGATGGAGTTTAATTCACTGCACTGGCACCCTCTCTATCTGGATTAGGTCCCCGCACCTGCTATTGATATGGGGAGAAAGACCCCTTTGTTTGAAGGGGAGTTCTACTTCCCCCAGACAAATAGTAGGAATGGGCAAGTGGGCCTGATCCAGATTAGGTCCAGAGCAGGGGAAAAGGTTAAATCTCCCTCTACACGCCACATTTTTAATCCAGTTTAGTCCTCCAATCAAGAGGACTGAAATAATTTATCTTTATCATCACCACCGCTGAGATTAAGACCCCCGTCATCCAGGAGATCAAGTGGCATATATAGCACTCTGTCCTTCAATTTTATTCCCACAAACCCCCACCCCACCTCCAGTGAAGTAGGTTAGGCAGAGGGATTAGTGACTGGCCCAAAGTCATTCAACAAGCTTCTATGATCAAGGCTGTATTTGAATTCAAGGTATCCCAGTTTTAGTAACCCCAAATAATCTTTCATGCCTTCTTTAGCCCCAAAATAGTTCTAACTAGAGATGCTGAGATGTCACTGAAATGCTTGAGGCTAAGACTTGGGAGGGTGATATTTCTGGCAGGCTTAGGACTTTGGATTTCTTTGGGGGATGTGTCTCAGCATCCCTATTTCATGTAGAGTATATGAATACACACAAGTTTTTCTTTCCCTTTTTTTCCCCGTGCCCTAAATAACCAAGAAATTGCAGCATTGTTCCATTACCAGCAAGATTACTGGGGAGGCTTGGAGGGGTTTGCAGAAATGAGATTGAGGGTCACACATGGTCCAGTTTGTCTACCCCTGGTCTCTGCATCTCCAGGCTTAAACATAGTATGACTCTGGATACATATCAGAAACAAGGTATGTTGTGGACTCCCCAAAGACATTTGACTTGTTGTAGCCATCCATTTCCCTTTCCAGTTGTGGTTCATCAGTACTTACCTTCATACCAGGTAGAGGTCACCATTTTGGACCAGAGAAGCAGGAAGACAAGTGATCCTTTTTGAAGCATCTTGGTGTTCAGAGGAAGATTGCAGCCAGCAGGGAAATACCAGCATGCCTTTGTGGCTGATAATTCAATCTAAAACCAAGGAGAAAAGGCATGAGGTTAGCGCGAGAGAGGCAAGGAGAATGACTATAAAAGATGTAAATTTGGCCCGCACATTTATTCATTTGGCAGAGGTTTTGTTTCTTAGGGGAAAAGCAAAGGAGACATGGAAAACCGAAAATGTCTAACAAAAATCCTTCCAGAAGTTTTTAACAGTTTACCTTTTCAGGTTCTGAATTTCAGATCTTGGCTCAGTGGGTATTGAAAACAAATTCCAACAGGTTGTGTTGGAGAGACTCCAGATAAATGGTGGATTACATTTATTAGAAGCAACCAACAGACCATTACAACCACATGGCATCACAGTAGCACACAAACCAACTAAAGCCCTCTGAAACATC